ATGGTCAAACGAGGAGGAGGAAGATGTCGCGCGATTTTTATCGAGCTTGCCGAGATTCTCCTTACCCTTCGTTCGTAGGATGTATTGAGCGTATTGAATTCTGGTGTGGGAACGCCGTATGCATGGAACGTGTAACAGAGAGGAGGGAAGAGTGTAACGTTGCCACGCGACAGGAATTGGGATTTTTTGGGAGGAATCTTCGTGGCTGAGTATCGTTCGATAATTCAATTCGTGGAAATCGACTCGAATCTTTTAAACCACCTCTTGATTATGCTGCCCGATTTTCTGATACCCAGATAAAGATTTATAAGCGAAGATATTGAAATATTTTGGAAGATCGTTTTATAAACGTGTAAATTAATTTTTGAAGTGATATGCTTTAAAACTTTAAAATTAAGAAGGATTTCTTAATTTTTCCAGATATTTAGAATAAAATCCAGATATTTTAACAATTTTCATTCACTGTTTAAGTCACGAATAATAAAAGAAAATTGTTATTTTGTTCATTGCATTTTAAAGTTACTAGTGCTAAAAATCTTGATACAAAAGGGATTAATCAAATCACTGTTTACCCCAATAATAGCCCAACAACAATAAACAAAATTTCACACATACACAGTCATTCAAACGCTTGCGAGAAAACGGAAAACGAGATCTCCTCTCGCAGGAAGGATATCCCAGCGATCTGGGTCGGCTTAAACTCGTTATAAATCAAAACTGTTCCCAAGGCGGGCCTATTCTTCGCCGGCGCGATGGCACAATGGCCGACCGCCGCTCACAATCGTCCACGAAACGGAACGAAACGAAACGCGCCCGTTCAACCGATTTGTTTGTTCGACCGCTTCGTCGATCGAACGAAATCCGCTTAATGCGATCGTGGAGTGTTTCGTGCTCCAGAGAAAGAGAGAGAGAGAGAGAGAGAGGTGTAACGCTTAGGTGAAGGGGTCGTTCGAAGAGGGTTGAGAGAGAGAGAGAGAGAGAGAGGGATGGGAAAGTTAAATGGAGAGGGGAGGAAGAGAAAGGAAAGGAAAAGAGGTATTGGTCGCACACGACACGAGCTTACTTTTAGTTTCTGCGCGCACCACCACCACTCGAAACCACCCCTGGGGTATTAATTTCATTTCGTCAAACACCGGTAATACTACGGAACCCTCGCTTTTTGTTTACTCTTATTCTCCAACCACTCTGATTCGTTTACATTTAAGTTTTTAAGATGATGCGGGACGATGCTCGTAATAGGGAAATAGTGGTTTATTTGTTTTGGGCTGGTTGGGAATTAGATTAAAGTTTGGGACGATGATTAATTAGGATTTTGTTACGTTTCATTTAATTATAATTTTTTTTCAGTTTTTGATTCAACTTTTGTTCAAGAGTTTTTTGAGAATCCTCATAGGAAAATAATATTTTATTTTTTTGTTTGTTAATTGTTGTTATAAAATTAATTAGAATGAATTTTTTCTTCTTTAAAACGTGTATTTAATTATACAATTATATGTGCACAAATATTTCTAATATTCGTTATTCTAATGTTCGTTATTAATTATTAAAAAAATTATTAAAATCTTTTTCGTACAACTATTCGTCAACAATTACTACAATTATATTCGATACAGTAGAATACCTCTGTTATTCAAACATTTATTCCCTATATTCTAGTATCTATATGTTTCTAATTATTTTGTATGTAATAGTGAAAAATACTATAGGACTACAATTTTCAATTTTTTCACATGAGAGACGAATAATAAGATAATAAAATATTTTATTAAACATTTAATTGAAATATATCGGAAAATTATAAAATTTCTCACGCAAATAATTCTACGATTCAATTCTCCAAAAATTATTTTACAATCCTCTTGATAGAAGATAGAAAAAATGATAGAGGTGCCATTAAAAATTGCAAGAAACGTATCTTATCATTTTTCACCATTTACGATACAAAATCAACACAATCGAACGATTTATACGACAAAAAAGAATGACAATTAAAATATACACATATAATTACTAATTCGAATACTGGAAGTCTCACTGCAATTCAAAAGTATAATTTAAAAATCACAATCATTCGTTTTTCTTATTTTTCTCAACGCTATCCCCTCTAGGAACCTTTTCACGATCGTTCGACTCCCAACACTTGTCAAAATCGTTTCTAACGTCGATCAACAAACTCTGCCTGCACAATTTCGAGATCGTGCTCATATTCTCCTCCTGAGCATCTTTGCTGCGTATCAATCTCGTAAACTTTAATTTATTGACAATTTTCGCGAGCGATCCCAACGGCTGAGGCTGCTTCGAGATCGATCTTGGAAGAGACTCGCATCCTCGGCTGGTTTCGGTCAAACGCACGAACGTGTCCGGATCCACGTTTATCATTCCAGCACTGGCAGATTTAACACGATCGGGTCGAGAACCGTTCGACAGTTCGTTGTAATCGTTCAAAAAATGTTCCATCCTCTTCTCTTTCGTTGCCATCTCCTGTTCCTGCCCTTCCTTTTCATTCGACGCGTCTAATAACGAATTTGGGGCACAATTTGCATTACTCTGCTTGCCGCTTCTCTCTTGATTTTCCGAGATCTGCTCGTAGAAATGGACGAACGTTCTTGGAGAATCCTCGCGTTTGACGGATGGAGGCTCCAACACGGAATGGCAAAGCGGGCCACCTCGACGAGACAAGAAATCCTCTTTCGCTCGTCGCACTCTCAACGAGTGTGATTCGACCAGGGACGATTCTTCGGAGATCGTGTTGGTTCTGCCGTCTCTTCTGGCCACTGCATTCGACAGAATCGTCAGTTTGTGGATAAGATCCGAAGATTGTGGGTCGAATCTCGAAGAAGACGAGGAGGAAGAAGAGGAAGAGGAGGAGGAGGAGGGGGAGGAAGAAGAAGAATTTTTTTTCGTTTTCTCTTCAGTTTTTAAGCTGGGCAAGCTGACTCTAAAGGAAGCTCGATTTTCTCGTTCACCTGCAATCTCTGTTTGCACCGAGACACTCCCTCTCTCCTTCTTCTTCTCGTTCGTAGAATTTTTAAATTCGATCGACGAGTCTCTGTCTCGCCTCGTTTGGAATATGTTATCGCCGATGGACGATTTCCTCGAGCTCTCCACAGACTTGCACCGTTTGAAGTTTTCTTTCTGTTTAACTGGGGCCCGTTCCTCTTCGATTTTCGCTTCCTTCGTGTCACGATCCTTCGAGGATGGGCGAAGGGGCCACGGTAACGAAAGAGACATCCTCAAGAGGGCGTCTTGTCGGTTTACTTTAGGCGATCCAGACCTCGACTTGCTTTTGCTCTTCGTAGGAAACACGCGATCATCCTCGCTACTATTGTTCTCCTTTTTACCAGACGAGTGATCTTCCGAACGTCGGAACGGAGAGAATATTATACGTTTCGTCCTGATGAAAACGTTTCTGGTCGGTGAATTGGAGATTTGCTTTTTAGCACTTGTTTCTCGATTGATTGGAACGTCACGATCGTTGCTCGATCGATATTCATCCGTTGAACCTTTGATTGGTGCTCGCTCTATCGGCGATCTCGAGACGTTTGCTTTCTCCACGCAGCCCGTCGCCGTGGGTACGACTATTTTGTTCAGAGTTTCTTCGTTGATCACGATTCTCTCGAAGCAACGTTGGTCGCGAGATGGCGCTACCGTATATGCAGTTGTTTGAATAGTTGGCTCACGATGACGTTCGAACGAGGAGGGACTCGATAACAAGGAAGACGAAGCAGTTTCGGTGTTACGATATTCTTGCCATTTCTTTCTTTCGACGGATTGTGAACTTCTTGTTGTTTCTTTGAAACGATCGTTTTCTTTTTCGTAGGTTGGATAATTGGTGCACGGTTTGGACGAGTCATAACGATTCGTGTCTAATTTTATTTTGGATAAATCTCGATGAACGCTGTCGAGTAATTCATTTCTGATTACGGTATAAGTTTCTTCAGCTTTTTTGGAATTTTTTTGATCTTGATTGGTGTAGAAACGATCTACGTCACGCGTTGCAAACTTGGTTTGCTCTAGAAATAATAAGAATATTTGAAAATTTTTTAATTTTCAAATGAAGAATTTTATTTGAATTTTAATGGAAAAATCTGAACGATTTTTCATGGATATATTAAAACGTTAAAGATTTAGAAGTTTACAATTAAACTATAGAACAATATTGGATATGAGAAAAGTTTTTATGAATATTTTTTATTATTTTTACGTTTTTAATTATCGTTTAATTTTTATATATTTTGTAATAATAAAATGTCATAATAAAAACGAGCCTTGTTTAATTTCAAATATAAAATTCACTGTAACTTCGTGATTTGAATATAAATATAACTCTTTTATAATGTAACTTTTACAAATTGTAACACAACATAATATAATATTATGCAACAGTATGCAATAAATGTTTTTTTAAAGATTTAATGTATTTTATTTATTGATGAAAAATTAATTAATTTTGAAATATTGAAAAAATTGACAAGGATCGTCTTCGATATAAATCCTAAACAAATTTTGATATTTAAATAATTTAATTTAAATAATAACAACATACCTAATTTACAATTAATCGATGTTTTTAATAAATTTTTAGCCGTTTCATCGTTATAATTTTCCATTGATTGCAAATTCGTAAAAGAACTGGTCACGATTATTTCTTCATATTCGTTGTTGGATTTCGAAGTTTCGATAAGATTTTTTTCATCATTGATGTTCTCATCCTTTTCTATCTGTTCATAATCATATTCTTGTTCCTTCTCAATCGATAACTCCTGATTGTATCGACAGGTCGCTACTTTTGATTGTGCTATGATAAAACTTATTTCTAAAGATATTTTTCTTTCGAAAAATTTAAATTTAAATATTATAATAATTTTTCGACAAATTATAATTATATTTTTGATCATTTAAAATTTAATAGAAAATTTTCTAAAATTAAATTTATATATATATCAATATATCAATCAAAGATTTCAAGATTTCATTTATTGATATAACTTTATTTTCGTTCGTTTCTACAAAAAGGAATTTTTTACTCGATTTTCGTGACCAATCTTAAAATCTTACAGAAATCTATTGTTGAACTTACCATCAGATTCCTTCAGGTTTCTTTCAAGTCCATCTTCCCTTTCAGATAATGTTACAGGAACATCTTCTCTAGAAACAGAAAAAGCTTATATTAAAATGTATAATTAATTCTTTAAAACACATTTTTTTTTATTTCATATTGCACAGTTATCTATTAAAATAAATTATGTATCATGATCTTGAAAATCTCTAAAATCTTGATTTCAATAATTATCTTATTTGTTGTAATTATTTTAAAAAATACTACAAGAATATTTAACGTTTTATTTTAATAAATGTTATAAGACGAAAAATGACTTTACCTCTCGAAATTAACCTGATTCTGCTCTTTTCCCTCGTTTACAACGTTAAATTCCGTATCCACATCGGTCGAATAAATCGAGCTGTTCGATTTCACTGAATCTTTATCCAATTCTCGATCCGAATTATCAACGTTCTCCTTCACATCAAACGTTTCCCTCTTGCTCCACGAGCTTGCAGAGGACCAATGCTCCGAATCCACGTTACTCGAAGAATTTCTCTCGTTGTCCCAAGATTTCGCCATTTCGGATTGTTCCAGGCTCAAACTGTCTTCGCTCGAGACACTTTTCCTTTGATTCCACTTTTTCGACTCCCACCGTTTCGAATCCGAATTTTCCTCTATGTCTATCAAGAATACCGGTGATGGTTCGTGACTGGAGGTAACAGTTCCCAATGGTACCGCGATACTCGTCGTTTCGCTCGCTGCAACCGAGTACACGGGTGTTTGGTGTGGTTGCACCCTTTCCAGGGGGCTCGCAGTTTCTTCGATCACGTCTTCGATGTCGACGATCATTGCTTCCGGTTCCGAATCGTCCATTATGTCTTCGACTATGTCCTCTGGTCTCTGAGGATCGACTAGAAATGAAATTTGAAAAATAAGATTTTTAATATTAGATACATGTTTAAATATTTTTGAATTAATAGAATCAATGCGAAAATAAATAGTTTTAATGTTAAATATGATTGTAGAAAATTTTATAAGCATTTTTTGGAAAGTTTCTCTGAAATAAAAGTGACTATTGTAATAAAATTGGAGAACACTTGTTTGAGACATAGAATCTAATTAAATTATAAATTAAAAAGAAAAGATAATTAATAAACATATAAAAACATTAAGACACTAAATGTTTTTTAGTTCTAATTACTAACATTATATGTTTTAAATGTAGCTTTTTAAATACTTATAATAATCGTTATAATTCGTATAATATTATTAGAATTAGAACAAATAATACTTACTTGATTCTTGTAAATCATTTATGCGATCAGTATCTTTTAACCTGTTCGTGAGATGATCCAATGATTGTAGACTGTTCGAACGGCGTATGAAAAGTTCATTTCGATCATTTTGTTCGACCACATTGCCAACAGATTTCGACCTCTTCAAAGAGCAGACTTTGAACGATATCGGTTCGTCGCTTCCAATTTCTGAATAATTTACCATTTAAATTACGTGAAATGTTTTTTATTCGATGATTAAATAAATTTAGAATCTTACTTGTTATCGGTGAATTATCGGTCGATGTTTCCATAGTTGTCTGTCTTAAGAATGGTATGTAAGAAGGTCCTAAAAGGCGGAAAGTCGAAGATGTCGGTGATATTCCACGATATTGCTCCCAGTCGTACAATTTTCTTGTGAATTCTCGCGAAATACCTTCGAACCGGTAAGATCCAACAGATGTTCGAACGAAAACTTCGTTGGTGTCATTTAAATTTTGTGTTCCATCGGCATACGATCTTAAATAAAATGTGATTATATTAGATTTTCTTAATATTTGGAATTATTGGTAATTTATAAATAACTTTTCATTTAACTTTCATTTGTACATTTTAATATTGATTTATTCCATTAAAGATTTCTTATTTAAAATTTTTTTCATTTATATATTCAAATTTTTTAATATTGTGGATTCTCATGCAAAGAAATTCCATGAATTTATTAATATTTTTTCTCTTTTTCCAAGAAATTTTCTATCCCTAGTTTTTTTAATACTTCTATCTATGATATTTAATATAAATTTAAATATAATATATATTTAGAGTTTTATACTAGAATATGTATATGTTGTTAGATTTCTTATTTTAATCTTATAAATTACTAATATAAATTACTAATATAAAAAATTTATTTATAAAAATCTGTTATTTTATTTAATATAATTTTTATATAAATACTTTTTCAATATCTTTTTTAATTTAATATTTGTCTTTTATCATATTTCAATATTCTTTAATTTAAGTATATTTTATATTGACTTTCTTTTTACATTATATTTTTTTTAAATTTGATTAATTTTTATTTTAAATGTTTATTATATTTCAGTCTTTGTAATTTGAATAATTTTAATATTAAATTAATTGTAATAATCTATTCCTATTAAATTTTTAATTAGCATGTTTTTGTATGATTTTATAGAAATTAATAATTAAAATACATTATATTGTATTTTAATTTTCGCGCGACTAAAGTGAATAAGTTCTCTATTGCTCCGGCCAATCAAAAAACTTCTAAGGCCAACGGCTAAACAAATCATATGTATAGCGTCAGTTTGCTGTCAAGATCGTAGGAAAAATGTACGTCGACATAAAGATATATAAGTGTTCTATGTGAAATTTAATATTATTGTATAATTTTTAGATTATTCTGTGTGTAGTGCTATTGTTTAATTAAAATGTATGTGTTTAATCATTCATTAAGTATTATTATATCAATATTGACTTAACTTTTGAACTTTTTTGTTATTCTTCATTGTTCGTGCATTTAATAGTTAAAATTACCGGTAATTCGTATTATAAATATTTGAAATCGGATTTGAATTTAATTATTATTAATTTATTTTAATATTATTTTAATTTTATACATTTGTTTTTATAATTATGACTTTTATGTGTATAGATTATCATTTAATTATTGGAATGGCTTCGAAAGTGCAATAGGTTATGCACATGTAATGACTTTCATCCAAATATGGTAAGATTTGATTTATTTCAACAAAAGACATACAATAATTACTATAATAATAATACTATAATATATTATAATAATAAAATATACTATAATAAGTTTCTTTTGTCTTCATTTGTTTTCATTTGTATAAAAGTAAAATTCAATATTTTTTTCTTAAATGCATGTATCGCTACGTTGAACTCGAATTATTTGTTTTGATTTTACGTTCAGATTGTCAAGATTGATTTTTTTATAATTTAATTTTGGAAATTGACAATATATTTTTGTATTTGTTTTGATATTATGTTTAAGATAGAAAATATTTTTTCAAATATAGCTTTTTCAGAAAAATGACCGTTGACGTCGATATGTATCATTCTCGATATTTTTATCGATATATCGAGCAAATCGTTGATGAATCGCGGTGCAGAATATCGTTTTATTAAAAATCATGGCGTTTAATTGCTTTATTTCAGGTGCGTAATTAATTTATAGCATAATACTTATTTCTATAATTATTATTTTACTTTTTGTATAATATTATTTAATTAATACACTTTATTCAATAATTTATTAAATATTATTATAATTTGTAATTTTTTAAGAAATAATTTACTTTTTTTTCTTGATTAATTTATTTATCATTAAAGTTACTTGTACGTTGCGTTATAAGCTTCAAAACTTGGATTTCAGTTTAATTATTACCTTGTTTTAATATAACTAGTTCTAATTTTATATATTTTAAAGATATATACTTATTTTAAAAATTTTAGAAGCTGAATGGCAGTTGATTGATGGAACTATTAAAATAAAAATTTCAATATGGATGCATAATGAACATTTTTACATGTTCATTCTTCAATAGACGTGATGACTAATCTAATGGTAACTTATTATGGTAATATTTAATTACCTTAATAAGAAATAAGAAGATATTATTATTTATCTTTGTTAAATAATTCATAATATATTAATTACATTACTAGCATAAAAGGCATTAAATAAATTACATTCTTATTTCAAAAATATTAAATTATTTTTTTTTTGTCTTTTTATTTCATCTTCTTATATAATTTTATTTTCAGAGAAATCTTGTAACCGCGTGCAATGCGGTCAATAGAGTCAGTGTTTACTTTGTAATAATATTTTCAGTACTTTTTAGAATATAGCTATTCTACTTCAATTTAATTATAATAGTCACTCGCGAAATTAGAATCAGTGTTTGTTCGATTATAATTCAAATAATAGTCTTTTATTTTTTTTTTTTTTTTTAAATATTCGTCTTCGGTATATTAGAATCAGTGCTTCGAAAGATGATTATTCATCATTAAAAAAGGTAATTATCTTTATATATTTCCCATCAATTTAAAGTTCATTTTCATTTTTTTTCACTTTAATTTTTTAAGCAATCATTATATATATCATTTTACATTATAATATTTCATTTTTTATTATAGTTTTCACTTTCTTCTTGACAACGACTTCATGATTATATATTGGTTACATGCTTACGACATTTATGGCGATTCTCATCTACGGTGAGTCGCATGCATTTTGATTCCTCCGGTCATTCAATCATGTCATAGGATGAAAGTTCCGAATTGACACGGATGACTGGTTGTATACGTAGAATTTTGCATGAGCACAGTGACTGCGGGTATTTATTATACCCGTGAGTAATAACATTTCCTTTTTCTGTGTTTTATTTATTAGTTTAGGCTAGGTCTTCTTGTATACCGCGTTTTTAAATATTAGTAACTTTTCAAATTAATTATCTCAAATTAATTTATTGAAATCTATTAGAGTATATTTATTTGAAATATTTGTAAATAGTAATTATCTAAATATATGAATATTTGTGATATTATTATATGAACATTTTTATTCTTATCTTTTTCTTTATAAATAATATTCTAAACATGTTTGATTTTCAAGATAGTAAAGATAATAATTGTATTCCTCTCGTTTAAAAATATGAAATATTATGTATAAGAAGACACTTCGCGACAGGCAGATTTTAAAATCAAAGTTACAAATTATGAATAATTCTTTCATATTTTCGAAAATGTGCTTTGATAGAAAAGTCGCCTGAGACTATTTTCATTAATATTTAACTTTTTTAAATACCAACCAACTTCATTCATTTTTTAACATATATATTCTCTTTTAATTAATTAATTAATAATTCTTATTTATAAAATTTCAACAATACATTACATTGATAAAAATTAAGATATAAAATAGACTCAATAAAATTTACAATATTAATCAAATGATACAAAATCAAAGTTCATTAGCTCGATTAGATATAGAATATTTATCTAATATATCTTTTTAGCTCAGGATTTTCAGATTTAACCCTTTCCATGCCATTTGCCAGGATCTCACTCACGTGCCCAGGTGCTACTTGAGCGAGAGAAAGGCGATAGACATGATGACCCTAGTTCATAACAATTTCTTCAAGCGATTGACGATGTGTTAGTGTATCGTGCACGATGTACTTTCCACATTATGTGTGTTTGGTTAGGCTGTGGAATTGCGTCGTTTTATCAATAATATTAATTATTAATCCTATTATTTAATTATAATAAAATAATATTATTCACGCTATTTAAATAATATGTATTTGAAACATGTATATTTTTTTGAACACGAATACTTTACAATTAAAATCAACATATACACAAAACTTTATTTACGCAATGGTCACTAGCCATCGTCAGTCGATTTCAGGAAAACACGGTACGTACAATTAGAGTATGCGTGTAGTGTGCCAAGCTCGGGTGTCGGAGGCGTCCCGGGACGCTTTCCCTAGTGTAGGCTTTTGCGCCCGAGTATTATGAGTGAAAATCGTTGAATGAGTGTGTTGGTGTGTCTGTTTTGCCATTTCTTTTAAATATAGAGTTAGGTAGGATAGGTAGTATACTTCTGGTATGGCTGTTAACTATAAGTAGGTAGGACCGGGTAGATTGTCACAGTCTCTGAGATCGGATAGATGCGTTTTTGCAATTAGGGAATCTCGAATCTAGATTTAAGTTTCAGCGGGCATTGCGCCCGAAGAAAGAAGACCGAAGAGGCCCGACAAACTGTCGCGAAGAGGGTTGCAACGAATGGCTTCTCATCTTTTGGATTCTTTTTAAGTCCAAAGAATGGGAAGTCATTGTTACTACTTTGTCACTGTGCTCGTTTTAATAATATGTAGTAATTGTTGTTGTGTTGTCTGGCTAATGCATGCTAGCTCATCATCCAATTATCATGGTATCAAACTATGGTAATTATCAATTATTTTTCATTTTCATAATAAAAATATAAAAAGGTAAGTATCCATGTTGGTTTCTTTTTTAATATATGTTTGCAATAAATCATTGTTTTACTAAAGGGAGAATTAATTTGAATATAAATAAATTTTCGTGCAGAAAGAAGATAAGATAATAATTTCCAGTGAGAGCTATTTTTGGAAATTATTACTATTTAATATATAATCATATTTGTATATATTTGTATATATCTTCTAATATAAGTGGTACAATTATATATTTTATAAAAAATAATAGATAGATAAGAAATTCACAATTAAGGTGAAATTCATTAAAGATAAATTTCTCATATTACTTACTATTTATTTTCATGAAGTAGTAATAACAGATATAGTAAGAATAAACCATCAGCGCCATTTCTTGAGTACTAAAAACATTTCTTTAAATACCAATTAAGTTTTAAAAGTACTCCAGAGATGACGCTGATCCTCAATTTTTAGTCTACCTTATCTTGCTTTGAAAAGATATCTCATATTTAAAGTAGTGCTGGCAATCATTTCTTGTTCTCCTATTTTTCTATTATTTGCTTTTCTTGTTTATGCTAGTTTCATTTAATTTTTAATCTATCTTTAACAATCACACAATAAGAATACATGCATCTTACCTTGCATCCCCATCGAAGCACTCGTCCAATTGTTGAACATCACTGTCTCGTCGTTCCTTACTCGTATTATTGTTGAAAAGCGACAGTAATCTTTCCAAAGCGAGAAACTCGCTTTCGTCGATTCCAGTCGCAATCCCAAATTGATGTGATTTGGTACGTGTTTGACTTTTCGCATCGCAATTACTCTCGTTCGTTCTTTTCCAAGATTCCATTTTTCTCGGATAATCCTCACAAACTTGCGTTCTCCCATCGTTCACGGTCTCTCCGCTTTCACCACCAGCGAAACTGAAGATTTCTTTATTTCTGAATTCGGTTTTCAAAGGAGATCTCCAAAGTTGCCAATCCGTTAAACGACGCCGATTCAGCCTCTGCTGCAGCACAAACGGGGCACTTCCTCTTCGTATTTTTTTGGCGCGTTTCCAGTCTTGCAATTTCTTCCTGAACTCGGGTGCTAATCTTTCTTCCGACAGCAAGCTTTCTCGAGGACTCGGTAAATTCGAGGAGGTTTCTTTCGTGGAAACGCGGGGTGGAAAATTTTTTAAACGCTCCCACTCGATCAACTTTTGATGGAATTCGGTTCCCAGTTTCTCTCTGAGGGCGCGGTAATCTTGTCTCGTGTCTTGCGACGGTGTGTTGGAAGGTGTCGTTTTCTCCATATTTTCCACGCTGTCGTAATTGCTGCTTATCGAAGTTTCGAAACCTGATGAATGAGAAACGAAATTATTGCTTTTTTCAATAATAAGAATTAAACAGTGATTTAATCTAGAATATTCAAGTAATGTCATGTTACTTAAAATATATTTAAAAATTTGAGGATATGCATACACGTAGTACATAATATATTACATATATGTTTAAAGCATTAATTTATTATATTTTTTTTATAGTTTTTTCATTAGTATCTACAAAAATTAATTGGTTGAAAAAAATTGTTCTACATCACCCAAAAACATATTTATTATTTTAGTATATGGAACATTCTTATTAGGATATTCTTCTATAGCTGTGACATATTCAGAATTTTTAAGTACTTAACATTTTTATTCATACAATAAAACTAATAGGAGAAAAAAAATATGTCTCATTATAAAAAGAGAAAATTAAAGAAATTTATAGAATAAAACTTTGTCGAAGTAAATTAATTCTAAATTTTGTTTACAGTAATATTTTATTCAAATATAAATACAATAAAAATTTTACTACAATATACATTAGAAGAATTCAAATTCTTTAAATTTAAAACCCTAAATAATTTTTTGAAAATAACTAGAAAATTTTTTATATATTTCAAACTTCATTGTGTATATATTTTCTTGAATACACGCGAACACCACGTTTTCTTTTGTCGCAAGAAAAATCGATTAGTTGCTGTATTCCTCATTCGTACCATGGCATGTCGAATTTGGCATGTTGGCCACAAAATTAATCGTTCCTATTACTCGAAGAATTCACACTAATATTTTTAAGTTTTTATTACGTGATAATCAATGCGGAAGGGAGGCGTGTAAAAATCTGAAAAATGTTAAAAAAGAAAAAGTAACGTTCAAATGTAAAGAATACGGGGAAAAACTTGCTAAATGCCCAAAACGAGTAAAAGAATGTAAAGATTCGCCACAATCTCCATCGAAAGTAACGAACACTTTCATTCATCCATTATTTTTTTCAATCGTTTTTATGCCATTGTTATCCAAAATTGTCAATATAAAAATTTAAGTTTCATTTTTTCATTCATATTTTTATCACTACGTTCGTATTAAAATTTTTATCTCATTAATATTTTGTTGGTAATAAAAATTCCAAATTTGAAATAGAATCGATAATAAATATGTCAAATATACAACGATTTGATTGAATTTTTTTTTTTTTTT